ATAAATGTTATCTCTCTAACTTTTACCTATTTATAACACGTTATCAGCACAACTCTCTAAATATAACCATTTCTCGTTTCTCTTCGCCGAAATAAATCATTCCTTTTCGCCGAAAGAAAAAAAAAAGTGTTTCCTCTAAGGATTTTAATGTTCATCTTCTTCCTTTGCCTCAACTGTTGGATATACTCTCGCGAAGAACTGTTTGCACCATGCCTATTTTTAGTTCTCAACCTAATAGTTACATATATCTTTTATTTCTTGTTTGGTGCAGATCTTGATTACTAACCCAGAGTTTATTTATGTTAATTTTACTGCAATCCAAGATAGTGCGGTATAATCGCCCATCTTGAACTGCAAATTTAATCTTACTGCAATCCAAGGTGGTACGGTATCATCGCCTATTTTGGATTGCAGATCTAATTTTACTGCAAATTTTAGGTGGAGCGGTATAATCGCCCACCCTACCTTGCATATTTAAATTTGCATGTTGTTTAATTTTATTGCAATTTTAGGTGGAGCGGTATAATTGTCCACCCTGCTCTGCGTATTTAAATTTTCCTCCTACTAGAGTGGTGTGGAATAATCGCCCATCTTATGTTATGAGAATGATACGATACAATCGCTCTCCTCATTCATCATGTAAATCTCGAGCCATAAGTTTCGAGTGCTTATCATTTTGGCCTGAAGATCAAAATGAAGAATTTGTAAGAACCATAAGTTCTAACACTACATCCCCAGATTACATATTATTGCAAGTTCTTACACATCTCAGTTTTCTTTCAGAAAGAAAATGGCAAACTTGGTAAAACTTGATTTTGTTGCCCTGGACATTACTGGGAAAAACTACCTTACCTGGGTAGTGGATGTCAAGATCCATCTGGAGGCAGGGAATCTTGCAGAAGCAATCAAGGAGGAGAACAGTGCATCTTCTCAAGATCGGGCGAAGGTCATGATCTTTATCTATCGTCACCTTGATGGAGGACTAAAAAGCGAGTACCTAATGATTGAAGATCCGTTAGCTCTCTGGAAGGAATTAAGAAACAGATACGATCATCAGAAAACAGTGATTCTTCCAAGAGCTCATTATAAGTAGACTCACCTAAAGATCCAGGATTTCAAGTCAGTGGATGAGTACAATTCTGTGACATTCAGAATTAGTTCCCAGATGAAACTCTGTGGGGAAACCATCACTGAGAAAGATATGCTAGAAAAAACTTTCAGCACCTTTCATGCTTCCAACGTGCTCTTGCAGCAACAGTATAGAGCGTGAGGTTTCATTGAATATAACCAGCTGATCTCTGTGCTCCTAGTTGCTAAACAAAACAATGAGCTCACGCTGAAAAATCAACATTCCCAACCTACTGGATCTACACCATTCCCAGAAGTGAATGATGCTTCCCTCGAAATGAACACCATATACTCTGATGGCAATAATCATAAACGAGGATGTGGCCATAGGTGAGGATGGTTGAACGGGAAAGGCAAGAATCATGGTGTCCAGTTTCACAACTAGGTTCCAAGGCATAATTCAGGCCCAAACTTCAAAAATGTAAATCGCCACAAAGGTAGAGCTTATATGAACAATGCTCCCAGAAACTCTGAAGGAGCCTGCCATAAATGTGGTGGCAATGGGCACTGGGCGCATACTTGTTGTACCCCAAAACATCTGGTGGATCTTTATCAAGCCTCCATCAAGGATAAGGGTGTCGAGACCAATTTTCTTGACCAGGCTAAACTAATGGATATACCTAATCCAATTTGTGACTTATTAGGGCAATTGAACACAACCCACTTAGATGTCTTAGATTTTATTATGGAAAAGGGGAATGAAGTATACCAGTCCGACTGAATCATTTATGTTTGATGTAATGAACTTGTAGTTCAAAACCAGCATTTCAAATTCAATAAAAGTGGTGTTTAAATTTCCTATTATAACTTGCTTTTAACTGTGATTACCTTACTCAGAGAGCATGGATAAAAACTATGGTCATTCTCAGAACATGAGAAATAGCGGAGATATTTGTCTTGCAAACAGCGTAACCACGCATACAATACTTTGAGATCGAAAGTATTTCTCAAGATTGATGCTTACAAAAGTAAGGGTAACAACAATATCAGGGCAATCAGATGTGATTGAAGGCTCAGGGAAAGCCCAGATTATGTTACCAAATAGAACAATATTGTTCATACAGAATGCATTGTACGTTATTCGATCTACTCGAAATTTGTTAAGTTTTAAAAACATACGTTTAAATGGATACCACATTGAAACGAAAAGTGCATAAAATGTGGAGTATCTATACATTACCTTCAATGATACCCAGAAACGTATATTGGAGACGTTGTGTGGTTTGTCAAGTGAATTGTATCATATCATACATACATAAAGATAGTTGAATCACATACTGTCATGAATCAAAAGTCCATTGATTCAAAAGTTTACATGTTTTGGCATGACCATCTGGGTCACCCAGGATCTACCATGATGCGTAGGATCATTATTAACTTTAATGGACATCCATTATTGAGCAGACACATTGCTATCTCAAATGAAAACCCTTGCAAGGCTTGTTCTCAAGGGAAGTTGATAATTAACTAAATGTTAATGCTGAATCCCCATCATTTTTGCTAAGAATTCAAGGGGATATTTATGGGCCCATTCAATCATCTTGTGGACCATTCCGATATTTTATGGTTTTGGTTGATGCATCTACCCAATAGTCACATGTTTGTCTCTTATCTACTTGGAATGTAGCTTTTGCGAGACTTCTTGCTCAGAAAATTAAGTTACGAGCACAGTTCCTAGATTACCCCATTAAGTCAATCTGACTTAATAACGTTGGTGAATTTGCGTGTCAAACCTTTGATGATTAATGCATGACATTGGGCATTGATGTTGAACACCCTGTTCCTCATGTTCATATTCAAAATGGTTTAGCAGAAGCATTGTTCAAGCGGCTTCAGTTAATAGCTCGCACTTTACTCATGAAAACAAAATTGCCAGTTTCTGCATGGGGGTATGCCATCTTACATGCTGCATCATTGATTCGATTGAAACCTATAGCCAACCATCAATACTCCTCAGTACAACTGTGTTTAGGCATCAGCCAAAAATTTCACATTTACGAGTTTTTGGTTGTGCTGTTTATGTACCTATTGCATCACCACAACGAACTAAAATGGGATCTCAACGCAGACTGGGAATTTACGTGGGTTTTGATTCACCATCTATCATTTGATATTTGGAACCCTTGACAGGTGATATGTTTACAACTCGTTTTGGCTGATTGTCACTTTGATGAGATAGTCTTTCCGTCGTTAGGGGGGAGAAAAGACCGTTCTAGAAAAACGGAAAGAGCTGACATAGGTTGTTCCCACCTTATCTCATTTTGATCCACATAGCACTCAATGTGAAAATGAAGTGAAAAAGATCATTCATCTTCAAAGTATTGCTAATCAAATGCTAGATGCATTTAATGATGCTATGAAAGTGACAAAATCACATGTACCAGCTGCAAATATACTTGCAAGCCTGTTGGAAAAAATAAAGTGCCAGCGAATGATTCATCTGGTGCACGCTTGAAGCGTGGTAGACCCCCAGGTTCAAAAGATTCCGCCCCTCGAAAGAGAAAGTCGAGGGCATAACTGAATCCAAATGAAATCATTCAAGAAGAAAAAATGAATGACACGTCCACAATTTATGATTCTGTATTTTCAGAAAAAGAAAATGTCATTGATGAGACACATGTACTTGAAGACATAGAGGTACATGAAAGCAAAGAAATCTCCATAAATTATGCTTGTACTAATGAATTGTGGGATCATAATGAAATAATCATCGACGACATGTTCGTATTCGCAGTAGCCAATGAAATCATATCAAGTGATGATCTTGAGCCCCACTCTGTTGATGAATGCAAACAGAGACAAGATTGGCCTAAGTGGAAAGATACAATTCAGGCAGAATTAAATTCCTTGAAAAGGCGAAATGTTTTTGGATCAGTAGTCTAAACCTCGCCTAGTGTAAATCCCGTGGGTTACAAATGGGTATTCACAAGGAAATGCAATGAGAACAACGAGATAGCAAGATATAAAGCACGACTCGTTGCACAAGGTTTTTTACAAAGACCTGAAATTAATTATGAAAAGACATACTATCCTGTAATGGGTATTCATTAATGCCTTATGCTATTTATGCACACCCTAATTCTCCTTTTATACCCCCTAATTTTATTTGTTTCAATTGATTTGAAGGTCAGGAGTGTGCATGAAAAGTAAAATGCATGGTATCCAGAAATCAATATTTCCCTAACAAAAAGTCGAAGTTGACACCAAATTTCGTCATCCTCTGCTAGGACTTCTAAATTTTGTCGATGAATATGCTAAAAACAATGCTTTTTGTTGTTTGATTACATCAGGAAGCAGAGGCAGTTTTACGAGGAGTGAAAAGTGCGATCGCCCATGATCCTAAATATATTAAAAAAATTATTTTTATTTGCATCCTAAATCTCATCATGCAGTTTTTATAAGTGTAAATTTTGTTTTCTTTCTAAATATAAAAATTTGGAGTACACAATAAGATATTTGGAGTAGCAATAACAACACCCTAAAATGATTTTTTTTTTCTTTCAATTTCAAGTGCAACTTTAAAATTAGAGCTTTGAAGTTTTTTTTTTTTTCCTTTTTAGTTGTTTAAGATTAAACTGCTTTTGATTATTTATGCTTGTAGTTCTTTTGCTTATTATTTAATAGCATTTGTAAACTTAGAATCAGTGAATCCTAAACTTTGTTTTGATTTAAGTTATTGTTTTCTAATATTAATAAATTGTCCTACTTTTTTTTTTTGAAAAACTATCTTAAGGAGAAGCTCTTTCATAAATTTTGAAAATCTCGTAAACGACCTTCTCATGTAGGTTGAGGATACTTGAAAGACCTTGATCATTTAGGTGAGTCTGGATAAAATTGTAGTTTTAAAATCAAATCAAACTCGAGGAAACAAATTCAAAATTAAGGATTTATTTTTATGTATATAACCAAGAAAAGCTAAAAAACATTACAGATGAGGTAACAAATTACAACTGTAAGAACATATACAACAAAGTATTTGAAGTAGAAAAATTGTGGTTGGACATCAAATGAAGACCGGTACACCATTGCATACAAAATCCTGTTGATGCACAAGCAACATCCCACTTCCCATCTCTAGCTGTTGCCTTCACAAATCACAGTGTCGAAAGGCTAGACAGTAATTGACATGGTTACTGTTTCACTACAACGTTTTCCCTTTAGAATTGCATTCCGATTCACTAAACGAAAACCTGCTTAAATGAAGTTTGAACACTTTCATGGCCTTGGGCTTATGCGGAGACCAAGTCTGAGTTTCCTTCATTTGCAGACTTGTCCAAGCGATCAGCAGCCTTTAGAACCTACAGAAAACCATGATAAAATCCATTGGTAACGTGGCCAAACGTGGTTCATGCCTACTATATAAGTTCACGAGTTACTTTCATCAAAGTTATTTCACCTCGGCATCCCAATTTGTTCTAGCGGTGAGAACAATTAGAACTACTGTTTGTAAAAAAACCCCGATAAGCATCCCCCACCAAATCCCCTGAAAAAAGGCCAAAACGCATCACTTTCTATCAGTATTCCTCACAAAGAAACAACTGTACGGAATGAGAGTGGGAGCGAGTGAACTTACCGCGACTCCCATACTTGCTTTGAAGCCAAGAAGACATCCAACTGGAAAACCAATTATATAGTAACAAACGAGATTGACGTAAGCCACGACATCTTGCCATCCACTACCAATTGCCACCCCTGAAATTCCACGCATTTGAAATTAGAAATGGTTGTAAATATTTGTATGAAGACCTGGTTTGCTCGTCTGCACTGCAGCTTCTATCGTATATCAATACCTGAAAGTATGGGTTGAATCCCATTCAAGAAAACGGAAACAACTAGCAATGGAGTTAAATCCAACACCGCCTCAACAACATCAGCATCACTTGTAAATAGCTTGCTAAGTCCAACTCGGAATATTAATATTATCGCACTGAAGATTATACTAATCAGGATGCTCGTTCCGTTCACTACAAACACTGAAAATTTTGCCACCCTTGGATTACCAGCCCCTAATTCATTACTGACTCGGACACTGCATAAGCCAAGTCATCTTATTACGATTAGATCACTTCCAATAATAGAACATGTAAAGGAATAATTTGATTTCTTATAAGCTTTTTTTTTTTTTTTGTCACAAACCTGGCCGCTGCGCTTAGGCCTAACATAAATTGCAGACTGAAGTTCCAGTAGTTCATGCTGGAATTGTTCATCACATAAGGACATGTAAAAGTTGGATATAATAATAGCAATCATGGTTAAATAACTCATGGAGTAAACTGGTAATGAAAAGATTAAATGCATTAACAAATCCATACTTACCAAATAGAAATGGAGTCTAGGGAGATTGTAGGATTGGGGAGGAGCCCTGATATTAGTGTTAGCCCTTGGTTGTACCATATCTCCAAACTACATTCATTCACAAAAGGAAAAAGATATTAGCATGTGATAGTCTTAGACAAGATAGGGGACTAAGGGTTTAATTTTTTGGTAATGCTATTTTAGACACTCTCTAGTAGAGGTAGGCCGTACTGTTATATCAAGGACCAACCTATGTTAGAGAGTGTGTTAGCAAAGTAATTAACCTTGTGTGTCTAAATAGCTTTGGTTAAAATTTACACACGAGTAATGATATAGACACTACATTTTTTTTAAACCACATTAGCAAACCGCCTTATTTGCTGAGTAATTGACACATAAGCTTCGACGTAAGTAAGGATCTTGACTAACGTGGTCTAAGAAAGCCAAAGTGGTCGCTTTTGCAATTATGAATTATTTTTCACCTACCAGAGCATGGTAGCAGAGGCAACAGTCAACTTAAAATAAGGCCACATTCCTTTGAAGGCTTTCCAAGAAAAGCCAGTCCAAGTCTCTTTGCACTTGGGACTCAGAAGAATGTAAAGCCCGTATATAATGACAAGAAGCCACCAAGAGAAGCTCAGTGTAAGAGCAGCCCCAATTAGGCCATAATCCACAACAAAAACCACCACCCAATTGAGAAGAATGTGAAGGATGAAAACTCCAACAGACATGTAAGCCAAGGGGTTGACTATGTTTTGAGCTTGAAGGAACCTCTGCTGGGGGCAGTTTATGGCAAATGCAAAAAGCTGAGGAATAATTCCTCTTGCAAAGATTTGGCCTTGCTCGGCTATTTCTTCTGATTGGCCGATCGCTACGAGGATAGGACCTGACCACCAATACACAAATGAGAGGAGGATTGCTGCTCCCAAGTGCAAGATGATTGCTCTTTGGCATATGATTCCCATTGCTGGCAATTGTTTGGCTCCATAAGCTTGCCCACACACAGTTTGCACAGCACTTGCCATTCCCAACTTTGAATCCGAACCGAGAATAAGAAACAAGAACAAAAAAGTATTAGGTCAACCAACAAAATAGAAAAATGGAAGAAAACATAAAGATGACATTGCGTACATGAATAATTTAGGGAGGAGTGACAATTCAAAATAGTTATCATGAACCCTTAGGTGAAAAAACGAAAAGGAATGCATGATAACTATTTTGGAGCGTAAGTAATGGTTCACATTTTTTATTATAGGCACACTAGTTGGGGTACAAACCATAATCCCATAAGCAAGACCCTGAATTCCAACACTAGCGATAGAGGCTCCGGCAAGCTCCAACGCACTCAAATGCCCACAAAACATAAGGGTGACAAAGCTGAGCATGTAGTTGAATACGGAAACAATGATGGATGAACCAGATAAAATCCATAGGAGTCTTGACTCCCAAGCAACCAGCCTAGGCCACCATCGGAGTGCCACTGGCGGGTGCTCTAGAAACTCTTCAATTGCGCGGGATGACGAGTCAGTAAGCCTAGAATGCGTGTCAAGTCCAACTAACAGCGGCTGCTGATTCTCCTCCATGGTTGGTTTTCCGTGCCACCACTACTTGAGGATTTCAAAAGTGTGTGTCACTCGGAAGAGGCTAGGGCGGACATATTTGTACTATGATGGCTGACCAAACAAAGTGAATAAATATACTTGAAACTGTTAGGTTTAACTACCATTCACTGAAGTTAGATAATTTACAGCCAGTCTATTTCAAAAAAAGCCAAAAAAAATAAAAATATTATTAAAAGAAAGAATACAATAATTCAAGAAAAAGAGAATTTCATTCTGGAAATACATAAATAGAAATTCAACACTCAATCTACTTAAATATTAAATCACACCAATCTATTCACAATGCATAAATCACGCCAGTCTGTTCATATGAAACTCTGCAAGTTGTACTTTTTAATATCTATTCAGATGTACCTTAGTGGCGGCCAGTTCAGTGTCTTTTCTGAGCGAAAGCATTCCAACAGGTTTAACGAATCTGCTTCTGTTGTGGTTGGTTTGAAAAAACACGTGGGTATCTATAGGTCAGCTGAATATAAAAAAAATAAAAATAAAAAATAAAAAAACTTTTAATCAAAATGATCTTTAATATTGGCACAACTCTTTATTTTAATAACTAAAATTTGAAATCGATAGAAGTAGTTATTGAATTTTTCAATCTTCAATTATTTTAGTTCTTGTGTAAAAGATTCGGTTAAATAAGAATCAAAATAATAAAAATAACCTCAATAAAATAACATCCAAGAGTGACTTGAAAAAAATTTAGGATACTTTTGTTATTTATCTTTATTTTAGTGGATTTTTTTATGGAATGACCAAAATAATTGATGGTAGATAAATTCAAAATTACTTTTATTGATTTCAAATCTCTAATCTAGTACTATTCCTCTTCACTTGTAAGTAGTCTTAGGTTCGATTCTCACCAAAGGTGAATTTAAACTACATTATTATGCTAACTCAGTGTAAGGCTTAGCTTATACCCCCACTCCTTGATGTAGATAATATCGATTGTTCAAAAAAAAAAAAAAAAAAAACCTAGGTACCAAGTGAGAAATTATGCCAATTTCAAATATTATTTTGGCTAAAAAATCGAAAAAAATATAAGTTAGCTTAATTACTTTTAGGTAAAATTTTGGTGCATTAATTAAATATTGTCATCGGTTTCTGATGTAATATTATATTCTGTATAGTTCTTCAAAGGACAACTATTGGTTTACCGAAACAAAAAAAAAAAAAAAGGACGGCTACTGTTTTGAAGAATTATATTGCTAATTATTTGTCTTTGGTGCTTCAAATTGTGGTCCATTGTTTGGCCTAACTTGGCTCTCATTTTCTTTGGCCTAATGATGAGTTAATATTATATTATATATTTTACCATATTCTTAGTATTAGTTTATTGATTATTTTGGTAAAATTTTGATATTTTATTTTATATTTTCAACATAAGACATTCGACTTCCTTTGGAGCAAAGCGTGACCAAATGGACGAATTTTGGAGTGATTCAAATTGGACGATGTTCGTGTGTCTGTTGCTATCTTCATGTCAAAATTTGGGATTTTTCTACCAATGGGTTATTTTCTGGCGATCAAATAAAAAGCAGCACGCGTTGTTGAAAAATGACGTTTATAGGCTTAAACTGAGTTTTTGGAGCCCAAGATGACCTTAGATGGGTTCGTGGCCTTCTAGAGAAGTGTTCAAAATAGTCAAAGCTTTAAATCCAACTATTTTGGGCCAGTTTTGGAGCTGAGTTGGATCCAAAACGTGGCTGTGCAGATTTTTGGGCGAATTTACCAAATAAATTTAGGATTATGTTTCCTATTTTATTTCAATTTTTTAGGTTTCCTAGTTTTATTCTAAGACCTTTTACTAGGAGGATTTTAATTAGAGTAATATAAATAAGGCTTGTTAGCCATTATGGACTGACCAAAATAATTAATGGTGGACAAATTCAGTATCACTTTTATTGATTTCAAATCTCTAATCTAGTACTATTCATCTTCACTTGTAAGTTAGAAGTCCTAGGTTCAATTCTCGCCAAATGTGAATTTAAACCACATTATTATGCTAACTCAGTGTAAGGCTTAGCCTACATTCCCACTCCTTGATGTAAATAATATCGATTATTAAAAAAAATAATAATAAAAACTCAGGTACCAAGTGAGAAATTATGCCAATTTCAAAGACTATTTTGGCTAAAAAATTGAAAAAAATATAAGTTAGTTTAATTACTTTTAGGTAAAATTTTGGTGTATTAATTAAAAATTGTGATTGGTTTCTGATGTAATATTATATTCTGTATAGTTCTTCAAAGGACGGCTACTGATTTACCAAAAAAAAAAAAAAAGATGGCTACTGTTTTGAAGAATTATATTGCTAATTATTTGTCTTTAGTGCTTTAAATTGTGGTCCATTGTTTGGCCTAATTTGGCTCTCATTTTATTTGGCCTAATGATGAGTCAATATTATATTATATATTTTACCCTATTTTTAGTATTAGCTTATTGATTATTTTGGTAGAATTTTGATATTTTACTATATATTTTCAACATATGACATTCGACTTCTTCTAGAGTAAAACGTGGCCAAATGGACGAATTTTGGAGTGATTCAAATTAGAGGACGTTCATGTGTCTGTTGCCATCTTCATGTCAAAATTTGGCATTTTTCTACCAAGCAGTTATTTTCTGACGATCAAATAAAGAAGCAGTGCACGTTGCTGAAAAATGACGTTTCTAGGCTTAAATTGAGTTTTTGGAGCACAAGATGACCTCAGATGAGTTCGTGGCCTTCTGGAGAAGTGTTCAAAATAGTTAAAGCTTTAATTCTAACTATTTTGGGCCAGTTTTGGAGCTGATTTGGGTCAAAAACGTGGCTGTGCAGATTTTGAACCGAATTTACCACGTTAATTTATGATTATGTTTTCTATTTTATTGCAATTTATTAGGTTTCCTAGTTTTATTCTAAGACCTTTTACTAGGAGGATTTTTAATTAGAGTAGTATAAATAAGGCTTGTTAGCCATTATGGAATGACCAAAATAATTGATGGTGGACAAATTCAGGATCACTTTTATTGATTTCAAATATCTAATCTAGTACCATTCCTCTTCACTTGTAAGTGAGAAGTCTTATGTTTAATTCTCAGACTTCTCACCAAAGGTGAATTTAAACCACATTATTATGCTAACTCAGTGTAAGGCTTAGCCTATAACCCCACTCCTTGATGGAGATAATATCGATTGTTAAAAAAAAAAAAAAAAAAAAAAAAAACTCACGTACCAAGTGAGAAATTATGCCAATTTCAAAGACTATTTTGGCTAAAAATTGAAAAAAATATAAGTTAGCTTAATTACTTTTAGGTAAAATTTTGGTGTATTAATTAAAAATTGTGATCGGTTTCTAATATAATATTATATTCTGTATAGTTCTTCAAAGGACAGCTACTGGTTTACCAAAAAAATAAAAAAATAAAAAATAAAAAATAAAAAAGAGGACGGCTACTGTTTTGAAAAATTATATTGCTAATTATTTGTCTTTAGTAGACCTGACAATTTCTTACACGACCCGTTAACACGACACGTAAACGACAAGAAAATAATGGGTTTCGGGTCAACACGATAACTAATCGGGTCACACGATAATAACCCGTTAGTAACGGACCCTTAACAGGTTTACACGAGAGTAACACGCGGATAATCTGTTTCGACACTATAAGAAAAAAGTTGTTTTGATGATTTTAATTTTTTAAACTACTAAAAAAAACTTACTATAAAATACAATAGATATAAAGAATATGTATATATATTGTTTATTAATTATTATTCTATATAAATTTTAAAATTTAAGTTTTATTTATTTATTTTTATAGTATATTATAGGCAAAGATAAAGATTAAAAATCATAAAACACATTAAAAATAAAAATATGAAGTAATTTAAAAATACCAAACACATTAAAAAATTATAATAATTAATTTACATGTGCGAAAAATATGAAAAAAAATATGCAAACGCTCTTAGTCGCATCATCTACGCTTTGAGGATGGGTATATGATTGTCTGAATTTTTTAAACCATACAAACTCTCATGAATAGTATTTTTAAGGGAGTTCAAAATAAATAAAATTCATAATCATTAATGGATAAGTCTGAAATATGTGAAAGCAAAATAAACGTTCATAATTGCATCCTCAACGCTTAGACGATGGTTAAATAGTCCTTTAGATTTTTAAAACCCTCCAAATCTCATGAATAGTGTTTTTTTATTTGAGTGCAAAATTAATAAAAATTATTATAGAAGTGTGAAAAATGTAATCACTCGTAATGAAAAGCTTTACAATTTTCATGAAGGAGTCAACTCCGAAATTTAGTATGTATTTACTAATTTAGTATTATGTTTTACATTTTTTTTGGTGTCAAATTATGTTTTTCATTTTCATTTTTATTGATTTAAAATATATTTTTCTTAACGGATAACGGGTCGGGTCATATTACTTGATAATATTAACGGGTTGATTTTGGGTCGGGTCATATTACTCATTTACTTTAACGGATATTACACAACACGACACGATCCGTTAAGCTATCGGGTATGACACGAAAATGATACGAACACAAGAAACATGACACGAATGCCAAGTCTAGTCTTTAGTGCTTTAAATTGTGGTCCATTGTTTGGCCTAACTTGGCTCTCATTTTCTTTGGCCTAACGTGAGCAAGGTTTATTTTGTTAGTTAGAAGGTCCGAAGGTGAGTTTAAGAATTATTATGATTTTGTTAGTCAGAAGAAGGCCCGTTTGTTTCCTAACAAGAAATATCAGCCCTACAATGAAAATTATTATGATGAATGAGAGAGACATGTTACGGCCAATTAGTAGAAGAAGAACGTTGTTTGATTTTGATGATGTATTATTCATCTAACATTGAGGTATATATACATGATTTACAAATATAATCCCACGATTACAGGACTAGTTATAGGTTACAACTAATCAGGACTATACTAGGAAACCCAATAATACAAGTAATTACACAAACGTCAACACCCCTGCTCAAATCGGTGCATAAATATAACATATGCCCAACTTGTCCAAGAATCTAGAATGCACTTGGTCTGATATTACCTTTGTAAGCATATCAGCTAACTGTTCCTCTGTCCTAATTGTTGGTACCTCAATAATTTTATCTTCAAGCTTCTTCTTAATGAAGAACCGATCAATCTCAATATGTTTCGTTTTATCGTGTTTAAATTTTGAGCAATATTATGCGCAACTTGATCATCACAAAATAGTTTCTGATTTGGCCCAAAATTAAAATCCCTTAGTAACTGTTGAATCCATAAAATATCACAAATTCCCAAAGCCATTCCTCTAAACTATATTTTTCATTAAAACGAACAACTACAGCTTGTTGCTTCTCCACATGACAAGTTTCCCCTTAAAAAGGTAAAATAACCCGATGTCAAACGCCTATTATCAACTGATCATGCCCAACCTGCATCGGTATAATCTTCAACTTTGAGATATCTGTTTTTTGCAAACAAGATACTTTTTCTTGGACTCCCTTTTAAATACCACAATACCCTCATAACAACATTCATATATTGTTCTCCAAGATTATGCATAACCTGACTAACCATACTTAGGTCTATACAAGATCATGCCTTTATCAACCAGTATTTAATTCAGACCAATTCCAAGTTTGAGTGCTTTCTCTAATGGTGTAGTGGCAGGCTGACAGAAGGACATGCCAGTTTCTTTTAGCAAGTCTATCATATGCTTCCTTTGTGACAAAAAGATTCGAAACTTGGATCGAGATACTTCGATACCAAGAAAGTATTTCAAAGGACCAAGGTCCTTCATCAAGAATTCTTCAAGACAAATAATGATGTAATGCCCTTAGTTCATCTGGATCATTTCTTGTTACAACCATATCATCGACATACACAAAAAGTAGTGTGATCTGAACTTCTTTGCTTGTAACTGAAGTCTCTCATGGATTTTGAAATTCAGTGATTGCTTCAATCCATATAAAAACTTCTTAAGTCGAACATCTCGAAACCGACCCAATGCTAACCAAAATCGGGCAAATTTATCTTGGAATCCATTTGTTTACATTCTAGGTTCTATTTTTATCCTGAATCGACTGGTTCGAAAGTTGATGCCTAGGAGACTCGAACCCCCAATATCTCATTTAGGAGATCAGAAAGTCTTAACCAGTAAACCAACTTTCAATTTGTGTTATTGTAATGCAACAAATATATTTATTTTATCTAATAACTATTCGTTACTCAACTTAACATCTTCCAAAACCTTAGCTACGAGTGATATGAACTTAAAATAAGTGATTATTCTTGATCACTAAGAATTAGTTATTTAGCTAATTTTGCTTATTTTGTCTTTTCTATAAGGGGTTTTTAGTGGATTGCTGAGTTGGCTCTCTTGGACGGTCTAGGCCTTCAAAGGGAACAATAGTCTCCTAACGGTTATTTGATTTTAAAAAAAAAAAGAAAAAGAAAAATGCAAGAATGCCCTCTATGTTGCTTCTTCCTCCATCCTCCATGCTCCATCCATTGTTATACTTGTTGAGGTCAAATTCTCAGTGCAGGAAATTGGTATCTAACATTGGTATCATCCTTCCGATCTTGGAATTATCCTTTGATTTTGATGATTTTTTACAACTAACTTCTTAACCCTTTAAGAATGTAATGAATAAATTTAATCTTCAATTTAAAATATTTACATTAGTAGATACCACAAAATCTTATTTTATACTTAATAGAAGAATAATATTAACAGTAAGTGTTTGTTTAATTTATTGTTTTGACGCAATATGCATTCTACGAAACTTTTTTCAACAATCCAATTGTCAAACTTATTTGTACACACTCTGATATTGCATACGTAAAAAATCGTAAAAAACAAACATTCAAAGATTACGTAACGGAACAAAATTTTTTGATGGTTATAAACGAAAAATCACAATTTAATGGTTATTTTAGCTCTGATTTTAATGATTTTTTATAGCTACACTCCTCGACCCTATAAGAATGTAATGAATGAATTTGATCTTCAATTTAAAATATTTACACTAGTAGATACCACAAAATCTTATTTGATACTTAATAGAAGTATAATATTAACTCTAAGTGTTTGTTTAATCTATTGTTTTGACGCAATATTTATTCTACGAAACTTTTTTCAACAATCCAACTGTCAAACTTATTTGTACACGCTCCGAGATTGCATACATTAAAAATTGTAAAAAAAAAAAAACAAATATTTAGAGATTATGTAATGGAACAAAAGTTTTCGACAGTTATAAACGAAAAATCACAATTTAACGATTATTTTAGCTCTGATTTTGATGATTTTTTACAGCTACACTCCTCGACCCTATAAGAATGCATTGAACGAATTAGATCTTGAATTTAAAATATTTACATTATTGGATACCACAAAATCTTATTTTATACTTGATGGAGAAGTATAACATTAACTCTAAATGTTTGTTTAATCTACCATTTTGATGCAATACGCATTCTATGAAATGTTTTTCAACGATCCAACCGTCAAACTTGTTTGTACACACTCCGAGATTGCATATGTAAAAAATCACAAAAAACAAATATTCAGAGATTAGGTAACAGAACAAAAGTTTTCGATGGTAGAAAAATCACAATTTAACGGTTATTTGAGCTCCGATTTTGATGATTTTTTATAGCTAAACTCCTCAACCCTATAAGAATGCAATGAATGAATTCGATCTTCGATCAATTTAAAATATTTACACTAGTGGATAAATCTTATTTTATACTTAATGGAAGTATAACATAAACTTTTAAGTGTTTGTTAAATCTATCAATTTGATAGGATATGCATTGTACGAAACTAGTTTCGACGATCCAAACCTCAAATATGTTTGTATATACTCTGAGATAGCATGTGTAAAAAATTGCAAAAAAAAAAAAATTCAAAAATTATTTTGGCAACTGTCCAAAATTTTGCTTTGTTCGTGTCGGTTATATCCGACAGGGCCATGAGTGAAAAAAAAAATTTTAAATATGTGTTTATTTATTTATTTTTAATCAATATAACATTTTAAAATAATAAAATCAGACATAATAAAGTACACCAGATGTTCATGTATGTTTATGTGCCAGACAATGTGCTTTGTGACGCATTGAAAATAATTGTTTGAATTTCTTTGTATCTTATTGCTTGCCTATGAGGGAGCGTAATCCTTATTACAAAAATGATAGAGCTTCAGATTGTAGTTTGTTGTTATTATTCTCTCATAAAATTTATGGTTCGTGGGAATTGGGTTCATTAGACTTTAAGGTCATGAGTGAAAAAAAAAAATTTTTAAAATATGTGTTTATTTATTTATTTTAATCAATATAACATTTTAAATAATAAAATTTTCATTTATGTCGGTCATAACCATCAGAATACTAAAATAATAACCATCAGAAAGTAAAATAATAAAATAATCAATTTCTGTGGGTTATAACCATCACCATTAACTTAAAAACCGCCATAATATGTCAAAAGTATTTAAAAAAAGATTAAAAAATATTGTCGGTTATAACCAACATGATCTTTTTGATATCCGCCAGAAATTTATATCAGATATAACCAACATGATTTTTCTAATATCCGTCATTGATTAAATGATGTGTCGGATATAATTTATCCGACATGATTTTTTTAATATTCGCCACCATCATCCGTCATCTAAAGCTAATATTTTAGTAATGGCCATTCCTTGATTGGATCGATGCTGGGTCGCAAGTACTCGTGGGTTGTCGAGGTTTAATGCGACAGATTCAGCGGTACGAGTTTGTTGCGTTGGGTTTTGTCGATCGCTGGGTCTCGCGGGTTGCAAAGGTTGCGAGGTTCTGCAGCGGCTGCTAGCCAGGGTTTTTTTCCTCTCAATTTTCTTTACCCAGCTCTAATGCTATAAAGAGGAATGTTGTTTGATTCTGAATGATATATTATGTTGGAATATGATTATGATGACATGGTTTTCACAATATGTCTAATTATATGTAAAAGTACACCAAAATATTAATATATTAATATACATATGATTGTAGTGAAATAAATTAATTAATTAATAAAAAAATAATATAATTATTTATTTAATTAATTAGTTAAAGGACATGAACAGTTCTATTTCAACTTCAGAAGTTATAACTTCTCCTGAAGAACACAACTCCTCTAAAAAAATTACTTCAATCTCTATATATTTGTCAAATTCCTTTTGTCAGATTCATTCAATTAAATTCAATTTCTGTTCATATTCTTCACACCATATTATAATCGATAGTCTAACAACATCGGTTTCCGATCCTGTACCCAATTTTCTAACATTTGGATCAGAGCCAGGTTTCATGAATCCAAACAATTAGCCCAGTTTTCATCCGAGGACATCTCGACCTACATCCGACACTTCCTCTTCGTCGAGTAACGAATCCAACCGTTCTTTCTAAGTTTCAACTTGAGAAGAAATCAGGGAAGAGGGGGTTGGTGACCAAGGAGAATATTGAACCGATTTTGATCGAAAGTTCGAAATCGTCATCTGAGAATTTTCCTGTAGAATCCAAAACTCACAAAAATACCCAATCGTTCGAAATCCCATCCTACAACCCATTTGAACCTAGGCCTGAATTAACCCAACAATTTGAACTTTATTCCCCTACACCATTTAATTCGACAGAGAACAAAATTCTTTCTGAAAATAAACCATTTTATCATACAAATTCATCCAACAATTATCCAATTCAGAAAGTTTTTACAGTCCCATTAGGCCCTCGGACAAATCGGGGTTTCTGGCTGCAAAGATCAAACCTGCACAGAAAATTGAAGACCTGCAGTGTCCTTTTAGACCCATAATTTCAGAACCTTTTTCTGCAATTTGGTCACAAAACCCAAAAGGCTTACCTGCAACATCGCGATTGATTCGTAGTCCTTCGCTGACTGCTGCAAATCTGAGACTGAACCCGCGATTTTCGCGCCTTCCTCCACCGTGGACTCGCCACAGCAACCCACTGAACCATAGCAGGCAGCAGCGTGGTGGTGTTCTTCCCCCGTGGTCTCGTCGTTCAACCGTGATCTCGTCCTCTCGCAGTAATACACAATACCGCCGACACCGTTATCCGCCAAGGAGAATTGTCTCTGCCGTTCGAGATTATCCGCCAGGCTGCGGAACAAAATTTTTCCAGAGAAAGCAGACAGTGGAACCGGTTTTCTCTCAGGGGAATTATTTTGAAAATAAAGAAGAAGAAGATAGTTTTGAAAATAAAGAAGTTGCATTTATTTTGGGGGACGCTTCACGCGGAGACTGCACAAAAGTCAAAAGTTTTGGTGATATTTCAAAGGCATCACGTGGGGACGAAATCAAGGGCTTTTGGTTCTTTGCACTCTGACAGTGTATGTGAAGAGGAAAACTGTTGGTGTCCATCACAAAGTCACAATCAAGAAAACATAGGAAGAATTGATCACACCTGGCCAAGTAGACAAATAAGAAATCCACAGGTTTTCTATCGACGTGATTGTCGGAACAAGAACTCTTCTTTCACTGATTGGACAAAATCTCTGTGAGTGTATGCGGTATTTGTTGCTAAGTATAAATAAGTCTCTATTTTTATTTTATTTTTTAGTTTTTAATTTATTAAGAACATTTAGTATTTGTGGCTTGTAATAATTAAAAGTACACTAGTAGTATTTATATTTGCATTTAAGTTTGTAAGTATTGTGTTTGTTTTGTAATCTTCCGAACTATGACTACTAAATCTTCAAAATCCGAAGTTTTTAAAATAGAGAGGTTGAATAACGTTAATTATCGAATATGGAAGAGAATGATAACTTATCTTTTAACCCATGACAAGACTTTGTACACCATCAAGGATGAAAGACCCCTTGGACCCTCTCGAGTTTATAATAAATGGGTGGAAGATAATGAGTTGGCTAAGACTACAATTTTGAATTACATGGAAGATAAATTAATATCTCTTTATGAAGAATATGATTCGGCCAAAGAAATCATGGAATTACTTGAAAAGAAGTATGGCCCTAAATCTCAAACGTACATTCAGTTATTGCTTGAGAAATACAATGGGACAAAAATGGAGGAAACTGATTTTGGTCGATCATATTACTAAAATGGAAGTAATGGCTAAAGACTTAGCCAATGCTGGCCATCTAGTTTCTGATAAAATGCAAGTTAGTGTTCTTCTTGGTAGCCTCCCTAATTCTTGGGAAAATGTAGTTACTTCCATGACGTATGGTCAAGTTGAATTAACGATGGATACATTGCCTGCAATGTTGGCTATTGAAGAAGTTCGTAAAAATTATAGGAAAAAGGAAACTAGACAAGGTAGAGCCAAACTCCTCATAGCGAAAGATTCTTAGAAAAACAAGCAACACATGCATAAGTCACATAGTAGTAACAAGCGCCCGAACTTCAAAAAGTTTGGACATCGCAAGCAGAACAAGTTTAAAGGAAAAGAGAGTGCATGTTACAATTGTGGAGAGTGTGGTCATTATAGGCATAGGTGCCCAAAACGACTCAAGAACAACAAAAATCCTAAAGAACTAATTTTGACTGTCTCCGAAGCACTCATTGCTGAAGATCAAGGACAATGGTGGATAGACTCAGGAGCAACTCGTCATGTATGCAAAGACAAAAGTTGCTTCATCAATTTCAAGGAGAAAGCACTAGGAGAACATCGTCTCTACATGAGTAACAATACTTATGTTGATGTTTTGGGTGAAGGAGATTGCAAGATCAACAATAGTAAATCTACCATTGTGCTTAAAAATGTTTTGTTTGCACCAAATATAAGGAGAAATCTTGTCTCTGTCTCTATCCTAGAAAATAAAGGTTTTGAGACAAGGTTCATAAATGGTGCTGTCACTATTGGGAAAAAGGGTTATATTTATGTAAGAGGAATAAGAGTCGATGATATGTACTCAGTTTGTTTAATAAAAGTATTTCTTCCGAGTATGTCTTTGTCTCTACTATTCAAAATTTGTCATATTTATGGCATTTACGTTTAGGTCACATAAATAAAAATAAAATGATACGAATGAGTAAAAATGGAAGTTGCCTCAAGTACATGCACATGATTTTGATACATGTGAATCATGTATTAAAGGAAAAATGACTAGAAAATCATTTTCTCAGCATTGGATTTCTACAAATTTACTTGAGATAGTGCATACAAATTTATGTGGACCAATAAGAACTAAAACCCGTAGAGGAATGAAATATTTTGTGACTTTCATCGATGATTATTCCCGTTATGGACATGTCTACTTCTTGCAACATAAAAATGAAGCCTTAGACAAATTTAAAGAGTTTAAGGTAGAAGTAGAGAACCAATTAGGTAGATCCATAAAGACCCTTAATAGTGATAGAGGTGGAGAAATTTGAAGCCTTTGATGATTTCTGCAAAGAGAATGATATAAGGCATAATTATACTATGCCTTATACACCGCAACAAAATGGTATTGCAGAAATAAGAAATCGAACTCTAATGGATATGATGCGATCTATGATGTCTTATATTGACTTACCTCTACATTTTTGGGGTGAAGCTTTGACTACTACAACATATATATTGAATAAAGTTCATACAAAGGCAAAGCCATTGACTCCATATGAATTATGGCATGGGCGAAAACCCGATTTATCAAACTTAAAAATTTGTGGTTGTAAAGCGCATGTCCTCATTCCAAAGCCATTAAGAAATAAATTACAAGCAAAAACTTTGGAATGTAAATTTATAGGATATCCTGATAATAGTAATGGATATAGGTTTTGTCATCCTAAGAAATGATTGATTGAAAGTAGAGATGCTACTTTTATTGAAACTATTTATTTGATTAATCCAATACAAGAATTGGAATCTTTGGGAGAAGAAAATTCTCCTACAATTGATCAAGATTTCCATCTTAATTTAGACTTGTCTCATGATCATGACATTGACAATGATCAAGTGGGAGACGTAAACATGGGTGATCATAACAATGCCAATCATGACACACACATGGATGATGATCATGATATTATCATGGAAGACATAAATAATGGGAGAAATGATCAAATCAATGGGCGTAAAAGAAAAAGGGAACCATCTAGAAGATTGAAAGATCACTTTGTTTTCAATCTTGAGGAGGTAGATCATTCAATGGAGATCCAGACCCAAGGAATTATAAAGATGCAATGGATAGTTTTGAGTCTGAACAATGGCAACAAGCAATGAATGAAGAACTAGATTCCATAAAGAAAAATGAAGTTTGGGAATTGGTTGATCTACCTAATAAAAGAAAGCACATCGGTTGTAAATGGGTACTTCGTAAGAAGTACAAATCAGATGGTACCCTGGATAAGTTTAAGGCTCGACTTGCAGCTAAAAGTTATACTTAGAAACCCGGTATAGATTTTGTGGACACTTACTCTCCAGTGCAAAGTTTACATCCATTCGTATGCTTATGGCAATTGTTGCTAGAATGGATTTAGAACTTCATCAGTTAGATGTCAAAACAGCATTCTTGAATGGAGAATTGAAGGAAGATATCTATATGATTCAACCCGAAGGATATCATGTCAAACGACATGAAAACAAAGTCTATAAATTAAGAAAGTCATTGTATGGCCTTAAACAATCATCAAGACAATGGTATTTAAAGTTCCACCAAGCCATTATGGAAATGTGCTATAAAATAAATCCATTGGATCATTGTGTTTACTCTTGGAAGTGCCAAGATAATTTCTGTATATTATCACTATATGTAGATGACAGCTTACTTGCAGGTAACTCTATAGACATGATTGAAAAGACTAAGTCATATCTAGGATCCAAATTTGAAATGAAAGATATGGGAGAAGCATCTTATGTTTTAGGAATTAAAATTACTAGGGATAGAGATGTCAAAATGCTCTATTTGGATCAGCAAAATTATCTGGATAAAATATTTAAATATTTAATATGCAAGATTGCAAGCCAGTTAGTACACCTGTTTGTAAAGGAATGATGCTTTCCAAAAATATGTGTCCAGTACATAAGCAAGACATCATTGAGATGTGAAATGTTCCGTATGCCCAAGCAGTTAGAAGTTTGATGTATGCTATGACCAACACAAGACCTGACATATGTCATGCAGTTGGATTGGTAAGTAGATATCAATCCAACCCCGTAAAGCAACATTGGATGGCAGTAAAGAGAATTATTAGATATCTAAAAGGCACCCAAGGCATGAAGCTTTGTTTCAGATTAAATGATCTGGATTTAGTTTGTTATTGCGATGCAGATTTCGCAGGCGACTTGGATGACAGAAAGTCAACAAGTGGTAACATTGTCTTGTTTGGTGGAACTGCTGTTTCTTGGTTAAGTAAGAAACAAAGTTGTGTTGCAAAGTCTACCATGGAAGCAGAATATAGTCTTGTAACACAGTGGTAAGTATTACAGTATAGGCTAAACGATTTATCGATAATTTAAATATAGGTATACCTAAGGAACACGTCAATGTGTTTTGTGATAATAAGTCTGCCATCTTTCTAATAAAGAGTGGAGCAAATAGTTCCAAAGGAAAACACATTGATATTAATTATCACTATACACAAGATATAGTGGAGAGAGGAGAGGTAAAGGTCGACTACATATCCTCTGAAGAGATGGTGGCTGACCCGATGACCAAGGGATTGTCTCTGGAAAAATTCAGAGAGCATGGGACTACAATGGTTTGCAAAAGATCTAGATGTGTTGTAGTGTGAGACGTGCGGTGGGCATTGTTGTATGGTTTTAAGGATGCTTGAAACATGGACAAGTAGATGCGACTCTATCTGGTTCTTTAGTACTTGGTCGGTTAAAGATAGAGGGCACTAGTGAGGTAACCATGTTATAATAAATCATCTTGAAAGTAAAATCCATAATAAGCTTCAAGAAATAATTTATATAACACTGTGGCGTATAGTGCGGGGCTAAGTCATCATTTGTAACTGGGTATGGATTGTTTTTTCCTAGTTACTTGGATATGATACCATTTTACTAAAGAGTAAAATGTTATCAGATTAAGTGGAATGGTGCGCACCAGGTAAAGAAGCCACATATCTGTTGTTACATTCAATTTGTTTATGAGTAATACTCTTGAGAAACAAATCAAAATAGGAAACCATTTATGTCATCATAATCAAATAAGAGATGTTGGAATATAATTATGATAACATGGTTTTCACAATATGTGTAATTATATGTGAAGGTACACCATAGCATTGGTGTACTGATATACATATGATTGTAGTGAAATAAATAATTAATTAATAAAGAAAATAATATAATTATTTATTTAATTAATTAGTTAAAGGATATGAACATTTGTATTTCAACCTGAGAAGTTATAACTTCTCCTGAAGAACACAACTCTTCCAGAAAGGTTACTTCAATCTCTATATATTTGTCAAATTCCTTTTTGTCAGATTCATTCAATTA